TTTTTTTCCTTTGTTTTTCTTTCCTAATGTGTTCGTTGAGGTGTTCACTGGACGAGTCGATCCTGCCACATCCCACTTACGATCTGCAAAAGGGCCTTGTCTATACGCCGTCGAAAGCATTCAGGTGGAGATTTTCCAAGAAACTTGAGGAAGAAGCTATCGAAAGCTATCGATACTATCGAAACAAGAAGACCTAAAAAGAGCACATTCTTTAGAACTAACTAAAAAATTAACAATTTTTCTTTGCCATAAATTCCACTACAGTAGCAGCAGCAATACTTTTTTCACGCGGCGTAATGCGCAGTTTTCGCCCTTTCTTTCACATTTATCTAAGCGTGAAAAACCAAACTTTTGATAAGGAACAACTTTCAGAAGAAATAAAATGATGGACTTTTGTTCAAATCCATTTCACATCACCAGTATTTTTACAGAGAAAAGAGCACCTTTCCCTTTACAATCAGCTCCCAACATCAAAGTTTTCAGCGAAAGCGCAATCTTTTTTTCTGCCTTTAAAAAAGTGAAAGAAATTTTCAAAGTGTGCATGTGCACGTTATTCGAAAGTGCATTTTTTGATGCCAAGCAAATAAAAGCGTTCTTTGTCGCTTTCTGTGTTCAAAGATTCCTGCAGAATATGCAATAGTTCAACCAAAAAGACCTCTATTTTCCTTTTCTCAGGTTCACAAAATCTCGACGAGTTCACTTCAATTGTATGTTGTCGGTATGCCATAAAAACGATGAAGATTGCATGAGAGAAATCGTAAGTCCCATCATTATCGCATACCGGGACAAACTCGTCCAATTTTCCGCGATTTGCAGCCGCCTCGATGCTCGCGAATACGGAAACGTCAGTTGTCCAGCAGTGAGATTTCCGTGGAAGAACGACTGGAGCAAATACGAGCTCAGATGAATGCGATGAACAATTTGTCGAACAATTTGGGTTTCGATGAGTTGATTTTCGAAGATAGTGAAGTTAGAGGCAGTGAAAATGTGGTATCTCGTCCACTTCTGATCAACGATGAGGACGAGTTTGAACAGCAAGGTGAGCTCAGAAGAATAGATTTTTAGCTAACTTCATATAATAATAGCCAGAAGTTCTGGTTTTTGTATATAAAAGAAAAATTCCAGAATCACGCAATTTGACGGCCTTGAGTCAATTTTTCACTATTGAACTGGATATTTGCAAATATTTTTCTGAACAGCAGATTCGGAATTGTAATTTAAATTTTTCATTGCTACAAGCTATAATTCTGACATTAAAAATATAAAAATAAAACAGAATATCCTATCACCAAAACGTGCTAGCGGAAGCTGTATTTTTTTGTTTGGGAATTTTCAAGAAATTTTGATTTGACTTGAATTTCGAACTTCCTTCATAAATATTGAATTCAAGGGTGAACCAGACGTTAAACATTTTACAGACCTTATCAGAAAAACTCTAATTCCATTTGAAAGAAAAATCTACATTTTCAACTCCGCATATACATTACCCAGCTGTTTACAACCACTAGCTTAGACTCAGAATTTTTACCTTCAATAAATATTTTTTTCAGGTTTCTCACCTCAGCCGTGTTTACCGTCCAATTATGTACACTGGATCTACGCATTGCTCATTACTAATGTACTTTCTATACTTGTGGCTGTATTGGCATGTAGTAATCTCTTAAAGAATTATTTTGCCATAGATATTGTCACTACAAGACACAAATATCGGTGTGCAACGTAGTTGTACCATATTCATTACTTTTCCTTTTTCCGCTTCATTTCTGTCTATATTTGTACGAAAAATTTATTCTCTTCATTTTCTCCTCCAGTGCTTCTCCGTGACAGCTCTATCTCCCTCTCCGCTCGTATTTTCACATTCATCAGTTGACGTCTAACACGCTGGACCACACGCACACATACACACACCCTTTTTCAATTACGCCACGCTTCTCACAAAAGACTGATGAGTCCACGCATTCTTCCAGAAAAAAGCCGCTCGTTCCCTAATTGAAAATGCCTAGCA